TGGATGGTTAGAGATTTATGAGATGGATGGATGAAATTTAAAGAAAAATAGAAGGCTATGATTAAAACAAATAAAGGGCTAGGATTAAAAGTAAAAATCAAGGGTAGAGATTAAATCAATGAAGGACCAAGATCAAGTCAAACAAGCTAAAAAAGTCTACCACTCATACCTATAAATATGGATAGAAAGGATGGTAGAAAATGTTGGAAAATTAGAAAAAATAAGGAAAGCTCTTACAAACTTTTCATAGAAATCACCAAGCGACTTCACCTAAACACCTAAAACCACCTTAAAACACCTTATTAAGCCTAAAATTTCAATTGGAAGATCAAAATTTCTAAGGAGGAAAAAAGTGGTTCTTGGTTGAAAGTTAAGAAAGAAAAAGAATAAGACGAATTCGAAGAAAATCCAACTTAATAAAGATTAGACTTATTTAGTTGCCATAGACATATCTTAATTTACAAGACTTTATAAACATAAGTTCTCTATTTTTTAGATTTAACAAGTTCGTATTATTATTTTAAAGAACTTTTCCCAAATTTTGTTCATATATTTTTTTCATTCTTTTATTAGAGTTTTTTATTTTTTATATTGATTGAGTTTATCTACTCTTATTTTATTTTAAATGGTCCCTTTATTTACATGGTGTTAACTCGTATGCCCATATGACACCTTTCTATTAGAGTATTCTGTTGAATGCTTGACAATTTATAATTCAATGACTCTTTAATTTTTTTAATTTTTTTATTTGAGATGAAAATTAAATTATTAAAATAAAGCAAACTAACTATGAAAAAAACCTAAATGAACCTAATTAATTAACATAAATTGATTTAACGTGTTTATTTTTTTATTTTATTATATCTTTAATTACATAATTTTAAAAATTAACGAGTTACTCTAACAAAAAAGTACATGCAAATGTACAAACTCATGACATTATGATGGGAGGATCCTTACAAAACAAAATAAAGAGTAGCATGATTCATTTAATATGAAAATGAATATAAGACTTTAATCATAAAAATTGCAAGAGTACGGGGATCAAGTTTGGTTTAAGACCTTTAAAAAAAATTAGTTTTTTTTTCCTAGGTTTTTTAATGTTTAATGTTTTGTGATGTTTTTTTTCTTGGCGTTTTCATGTTTTTTCTAGACTTTTCAAAATTAAAAGTTTTAATAGTTGTAGGGAATTTATGAGGCGCCCCCGACTCCCTTGCCAATTACCTAAAAGACGTGGCTAGGTGCATCACGGTTTAGAGACCGACATCTCAAATTTACTCCCATACAACATACATAATGTGCTGAATATCGTTACAAAAGTTACAAAATAATATAGGTATTATTACGAACAAAAGTGAACCCTATAGTTCACATATCACACATGAGCCTTTTTTTCGAAAGGAACCGACGACTTCATTATCATCACTACCAACGCCTTTACCTATCATGTCATGAAATAAATATAGAGTGAGCCGAAGCTTAGTAAGTAGGATGATGCACGTGATATGCAATAATTTTTTTACTCTCTCATTTTGACTCATCAAATTTTAATTCGGATACCTTGGGTATTAGTAAATCCGCTCTATTTTCATATCTCGGTGATTGTTGAATCATCTACGACTAACAACGAAATTACCCCTCATTGTAGCCTCGGTTAGCGAGATTATCCATTGTCTACCGATATAGTCACATAGAATAGAGCACGCACATAGCTTTAGTGCTAATACCTATTTAATCCAATAGGTTACCAAACTTATCCAATTCAATTCGGTTACCAAACCTCATCGTTTCTAACTCAATTGTTTTCTTAATTTAATCCATTTCCCATATGCATATGATGCATGTGATGTTGGATTTATGACATTCAACTCATGACATCCCCAAGAGAATACTACTTCCACCCATTGGTATTAATCAAGTCATAAGCATACTTCGTACATTCGTGTCTTTCCTCTCGTATACGTAGTAAGTCTAGCTTCGATTTCAACGTATTATTTAGTTTACTCGATCGTCAATTCTAAGGATTTATTATGACATGCTAAAGATGAAACTTCTTTTTAATCCGAACTTTAACCTTAGTAATCGAATTTAGCCTCTAAGGGATCTAGGTCTTACTATCGGCTTTTCTTGAATTCTCACTTTCTAATACTTACCTACCGGGGTGCAAATAAATCATTATTCATGAAGTTGAGTGGTTAGATTTAAATACCTCCATATACTTTAATCCTACGAACCCATTTAACCATAATTGAAGTAGAATTTCTTTCTAAACCCTAGTTCGGGTAGTTATGATCGAATTTTGCTCTTAATGGGCCTAGGTTATAATTTTGATTTTTCTCTTGGATGCTTACCTTTTAACATTTCATTTTACCCTTCTTTAGGTGGGATTTAACCATTAATCATAAGGTTGGAAGGTTAGAACCCAAACCCCAAATTTTATGGGATTAGGCCGAATAGGGTTCTAAAGTGGTTAGAGGTTTCCTATTTAATCGACTTACTAATTTATGCTTAATGGAGTTGTCATTAAACATTAAATCTGTCATTACCTAAAAGAAAGTCTAATCTTGTCCCTTTTTCCCTCCTAGGCCGAATTGGTTCCCTTTGGAAAACCCTAGGAATTTATTTCTTTACTTCTAAGTCATGTTTTCCAAATCCATACCAAGTATAGTTTAGGTCCAACCAAATTTGGTCCAACCACGTCTACCATGCATACATCCACATCAATCATTTCTCACATCACAACAATCATAGTAGATCCATCACAAAACATCAAAACATAATATTAACACAAACAATCATGACAACACATTACATGGCTTAAAACAAAACTCATAAATTGAATATTTACAAGAGAACTTAAGGCACAAAGTAAGCAAAAATGAAACCTACATACAATGATATATGCTTGCTTAAGATTTTTTGGACTTTTCCTTCTTTTTCTCCTTTCTTTCTTTCTTTTCTTTTTCTCTCTTTATTTTTTGTCACTCTCTCCCTCTAAAAGCCATTTCTCTCCTCTCTTTTTGGAAGCTATGGTTTTGCCTCCAAAAATGGCAAAGTTCATGTTTTTCTCCCATTTGTATATCACACTTTTAGACCATTTATTTCCTTCATTTATTAGTATGCCAAGTGTCAACACTTTATGGTAGAAAAGATCACATGATGGAGACTAAGTGGGAGACAAGTTGGCAAGTCTTTAAAGTTAAAGTGGATGGTGGTAGATTTGGTGTCACATCATTAACTAAAAATGAAAATTAAAAGGTAACTAAATTAACTAAACTAACCAACTTCCTTACCTCATTTGGTTCTCAAAAATTTGGCCATGCACCTTGTTTGAGAAATTCTTTTACTTGCATGGTCATTTTAAATATAATATTATGGGAAAATAAATAATGGCTAGTTAAATTCTCAAAAAGGTTATTCCTATGAACATTTTCATAAATCTTAGATATTTTAACACCACAAAATAGAAAAAAAAATGACACATAAATTACACCCACATAATTATGGATATTCCAAGAGATATTCTTCCCGGGAATTACAATTTCGACGTGCCTAAATTATTATTATTATTATTATTATTATTTTCCTCACATAAACACGAAGCATATTAACCTCACCAAACATGAATATGACACATAAATCACAATTTAGACTTAGTAGATGCGGATATAAAAATTTCAATACGTATAGCTATATTAAGGAGTTTCACGGGGTTACAATTTAAGTCCAAAACCGATATAAAAGACATAGTAAAGAAATTATATATATATATATATAAGAGCATATTAGAATGAAAAATTCTTAAAAATTCGTTTGCGATAATACACCTAATATACAAAGGTAGATTGATCAATTAATTCTACAATTAAAATTAAATTATTTTGAATAGAGGCTCATATATATATTTTTTTCATATTGATTGAATTTCTCTGTTGAGGTTCTAGGTTTCACTTATAACACCTCTCATGCATTATAATGAGATTTTGATAATAACGTTTTATGTGAAACTAATAGTATCATAATAGAAGGACGACAATAAAACAAAATAAAGAATAAAAAGATTTAATCAATACAATATATACATATGTATGATTTCAACCTCAAAAATTCAAAAAATTCAAAAATGAAATATTTAAAAAAAAAAAAATTGATCAATTTCAACATCTAAAAGTAATTGTCATTCTTCGTTTTGTACGTAGTACGTAATACTTGTAAATTTCTTTTGGTTGGTGGACTATTCATGCTGGATTCCTTTTTTTTTTTTAATTCCTCACCATAAATACCGAGAGCCAGCAGACTGCGATCGCAACTCTTCAGATCGGAAATGCAATTAGTTTTTTTGAAACCAATTTTGTCATGCTTGCTTGATGCAATTACTTGACTCAATACACAGCAGAAAAATGTTGTATTTTCCATCTTCTTTCTCAGTATTTTCAATATAGCCATTTCGAAACAAAGAGCTAGGAGAATTGTTGGACTAATGTAACCACAAAAATTGAATATTAAAGCCCTGCGTGCCTACCAGCCAAATCAGAATATAAGATTTGAAGCGATACGTATAGTAATTATCCCAAAAAATTCTAAGATGAGTGGGACTGATGCAATCAGCATTCTTCCCAAGTTCCCGTGACTTGCTGGCTGCAGGAAAATTTTCATGCATGGAATTAACAGCATACAAGGTGCAAACCCAAGTTTCAAGAATTTAGACAAAATGAACAACATAATTTGAATCAATTCGTTCAAACTTTTGTTCAGCCATAGTTGTTCCTCCCTGGCGCTGCTAGCTTTATGCCTACTTCCAGGGACTATGAAGCCCATGTAGCATCAAATCAGGTATATAAAGTCAGCCAGAGCCGGAGTTGAATAGACAACTGTTAGTAATCAAGCACAATTTTTCCTCTTCTTCATGTACTTCCGTACTAATGACAATTTAGACCTTACTGATCCATGGATTTCCTCTTCACTGTCTTCACTATCCAGCACAATTACTGATTCAGCAACTAGTGATTCTCCCCCTTGGGCTCAATCCCCTGGTCAGATGTCCTACTTTGATGTTGGTTAGACTGCTGCTTCTGAAGAGCATCTGGAAATAGGTTCTGCGAGTGCAAAAGCAACCTACTATTATCCTCATTGCTTCCCTGCAATTGAGTGAGAGGACCCAAAGATAGTTTCTGGCTAATCCCAGTCTTCTTTGGAGTATGCGAATTTGAATCCGGAGACTTATAAATTGATACAATATTCTTTTTGTCATCATTTTCTTGTCCATGTGACGAACCTTTAAATCCCAGAGAAAGCTTCTTACTGACCGACCAGGCCTTATCACATTTTGCACTGATGGTGCTATTATCCATTCCAATAACAGAATCCTTACAAGGGATTTCACTATGTCTAAAGGATGAGGACATCAGCAAGGTCTCTGGAGATGAATTAGAATGAGACTGAGAAGGAAATAGTTCGGGAGTTACAAGCGTTTCCTCATTTATGCAATCATTGGGTCGGTATGCATCCAAAGCTCCAGACAGCATCTTATGGCTAAACTGACGACACTTTTCTGAGTTTGCGCTTTTGGTGCTGAACATTGATTTCTTATCATCATGCTGATACAGTTGTTGCTCATTACAGTTGCCAACATTCAGCACTGGCAAATCCAAAGAAGTCATAGGAGCAATTTGTGGGTTGCAGAAGGAATGTGATTGCTTTAGGTTTTGCTTTGTGTTTTGACCATCTCTCTCATGATATTGAACAGAGGAATCAAGAGATAACTTTCTCCCAGTGCCACTTGGCTTCTCATATTTCAGATTGTCCTCATCAGGTCTAACTCTCAAATCTTTCCTCTCACCTTCTGTTTCTATGTGATTTCCAAAGTCAGACAGCAGGTGATGATTTTGCATGTCATTCACATCACCACCACAGCCCCTGTTGCAAGTCAAGCCGGAAGACTCCAGAGACAGCTTTCCACCAAACGAACATGTCTTCTCATTATTAGAAACAAAATCCTTATTTTCATGTGTTGACTCCTTGTCTGATCCTTTAACTTCCTTCTAGAGCAAAAAATTACAAATTCAAAAAGGTTCAAATTTTTGAAAAATAATTTGAGAAAACAACAAAACAATCGCTACCATTGTACTTGAATTTGTGTCACTTTGATTGTATTGAGTGCTGAGACTACTGAGATTGGCTCCAGCATATTTCTCAGTCATGGCTCGTGCTTTTTGGTCAAACACCTGCCTGTTATATTTGTATTCTCTGCTCTGCACATTCATTCACACATCAGGAAATTGAGACTAATTTATTCAATAATACCGTCTGACTGATCGGTGTACATATCCACTTACTGCTTCACACATTAGGCCATCATCAGGGTTTGGCTCACTCAGCAATAATCCTATGCTTGTCAGCACTGTTGAAATGTTTAATGATGGTTGCCATGCGCCCTGCTTATATAAAAACACCAAGCCTTGTTACAAATAGCAGGTTTGAAAGAAACTCTACAATTTCATTAAGACATCTATTGCCTATTGATAAAAACAAAAAAGGAGGGGTCTCTTGGCAGTGTATTGTCAGCATGAAATAGCAAATAAATTCATAAAATCTCAAGAAATTACTAGTCACCTATGACTTGTCTAACAGTACAGTAATTGGTATATAAAGTTTGCTGACCATTATTCTCTAGATCACAGTTCTTGATTTCACACTATAGCTTAATAACAGCAAAAGGGACTGAAAAACTGGATCTGAACCTTTAGGGATTAAAATTTGATTCAAACCAATGCACTACAAACTAACTTTACAAGCCAACTTCTTGCCCATTTCCATGAAAAATGGGAAGCCACGGCAGTACACACTGTCAGCCCAAGCTACAGGTAAAATTCGATAAATATCAGCACAAGTAGTTGAACAAGCGGGAGCACAACTAATCTGGTCGAAATGAGAAAATTACAGAATCAATAACTAGAGCAAGTAACTTGAGAATTACTTTAGATTAATTCACATTTTATTTAATTGTGGTCTAACCGAAAGAATATTGGAAACTCCATACACATTTTCCCTCTTCTTCAAGTAGAATCAGTAGGATTAATTCTAAATAAAATAAAATAAAAACATAAATAATAATAAACAGTAGAATTTGTAAATTTACCCTCAATTTTTTTTATATAAAAAAAATTCCCAGAAAACAAAGCTATCCTGCTCAAAACAGCATATATTTCTAGGAAACCAAAAACAGATTTACATTTATGCAAAAAAAAAAAAAAAAAAAAAAAGATGAATTAGGGTGTGGGTGTTCGTCACCTTTGGGGGAAGATTGAGAATGTCAAGGCAAATCCGACCTCCGTTATCGATATTGGGGTGATAGATTGGCGTGGCAAAGGTCACACTTGGAGGCTGAAATGGGTACCTAAAAAGATAAAATAAAAACCCTCAAAATTCACAATCACAAGCAAATAAACTACAAACATGACAGAAATGCAAATAATACCTTTCGGGTATCTGAATCTTAATGCTGAAAATCCCTTTACCATATACACTCCCTTCGGGCCCTTCAATTTCTGCCCCAATAAAAATTTGGTCAATGAGCAACAGAAAATTTTGGAGATTTTCGATGGATGATTTAAAGAAAAGTAACTTACGGGCGTCGATGGTTGACAAAGATGAGAAATTGGAGTCGCTGGAGAGAAAAGGAAAGGACGCGCCGGGTGGAGGGTCAGTCAGGAGGAGCTTGAGTTCCTTTTGCATTCGAAGATTGAGCCTCGCGGCTTGTGCCATCTCGCGATTTCCAAATTTTCCTTCTTTTTTTTTTTTTTCGGTCTTCTTGTGGATTTTCAACTTCGGAAGCAGAGGGCGTGTTTAGAAGGCGCGGGCGGGAGAGGAATTTTGGAATGGAAACTCGCTATGAATTCTTGGTTGCAAGCTCAAACTTAGGATGCTGCTGGCGCATGACATGTTGTACGGTGCTTGATGCATAAGACAAATTATTAGAACATTGAATAAGATAAAAATTAATTGTTGTCTTGTCCCGGAGAGAGAATTATAATTCCGCAGGATTGTCCAATAGCATAGATAAAATTAGGATTTTTTAAAAAATTTTTTTTACATATTATCTATTATTTATTTGTTTAGTATTTGAGGAAATATTTCTTAAATTTACTGTCTTAGCGTTAGGCATTCTATATTTTACAAAAAAATATTTATAAAGCAAACTATTTGATTTAAAAATCCATTATAGCATTTAATAACTCTATAATTAATTTTTTGCCTAGAACCTGATTAAGATGAAAATAATCATTGTTTGAACAATCATTATTCGTCAAAAATATGTGCAAAGGCATTAAGCTTTTCAAAACATATGGTATTGATAAAAAAAAAAAAATTCTTTTTCTAACTCTTGTTTAGTAGTACAGTAATATTCATAATAAAAACTTGTAATCATTTCGATTTCTTTTAATATTTTAAAATTTAGATAGTTTTACTTCATATAAGGCCCAAAAAAAAAATCCTACTACCTTAAAGATGTACTTAATTGAACAATTCTATGCTCAATTAATATAAATCTCTTATTAAATTTCGATTAGAATTTATAAATTTTAAAACAATATTTATTTAAACTCATCTTAATAATAAATATTTGGTTCAAGATTCTTCCGTTAGTATTCATTTGTCACAAGTATAGGATGAGGTTTTTTTTTTTTATATTGTGAATGTCATTTTCTCTCACATTTTTTTTTTTATTACAAACCTTGAATCATGGTCAAGAAATTAGAAAAATATAAGATTTTACAAAGAAGAATTGTTATCTCACTCTTTATTATTTCTTCCACTCTCTTATTCAAATGAAAAGAGGATGAGGATATTTATACAAGCAGAGCTAGCATCTATTTTTTATTTTTCATCTCTAGATAAAATAAAATTACATGCTAAATGTCAAGTTATTAGCCCAATTATATAATGTTAGAGGCCAAGTGTCAAGACACTAACTATCTTTTTTGTTTTTTTTTTTCCTTATATTTTGACCCCTACTTTATATGGCTGAATAAGATAAAATTTTTACACATTTTTTACAAGTCTTTTGTGGCACAAAGGTGACATAAAGATGATATGTAATGATGGTGTCATGCATGCGGCCGTTCCATCTCATCTCAACTTTTTCCACAAGTTAGGCGTTGGGCTTGTTGAAAATCGAAGAATTTGACTAAATTTCTTCCTTACTCTTCAATAGGTTTCTTTTTTTTTTCAAAAGGTGTCAATACAAAAAATTCAACGTTGGATTCTTTTTGTTATGGATGATCAAACATTTATTCGGTTTGATTATTAATAAGTTCAATTAGATTTTTGATTAAATAAATTATCTAAATGAAAAATCAAAATCGAATTGAATTGACATTCGATATTTCGGTTTCGGTTATTAATTAATTCTATTAATAACCAAATTTTTTTCTTAGGTGGGCTTTGACTTTTGGGCCTCTATCCCGAATGAGCTTTGGCCTTTGCGCCAAACTTCCTATGCTAAATACATGACTAACTTATTGCGACCTATAAAAATAATTAAAAGAGGAGCTCAAATTGAAATCTTCGACACTATCACACTCGGACAATCACAATTCGCAGGGCCACGAGCGACTCGTTGAAATCAAAATTAAAAAAAAAAAAGATATTAACATATTAACATATTGTTGCTTACTTGCTTTGACATCTTTGTTCCTTTCAAAGTTCCATAGTTCTAGTAAACCGAGTAGTACCGGTCTTTAGACTCTAGTTGTTTGGCCGGACCATCCCAAGTCCCCAACATAGTTTGCTTCTCTAACACATGAATAAAAACCACTTTGGCAAACAAGAAATAGAGATTATCGATAAAATTCTAAACTCGGTGGTCTCACAAGCATTTATCCTTCTCAACCAATTGATGAACAACTTTTGCGAATTATATTATTATTATTTTTTTTTCGAAGGTGGATCATATTCGAAATTTCAAATTGAAGTCGGTTTGAGTTACTTCATCATTCATAAATCTACAATACAATTGAAGTTAATTTTTGACAAAACAAATTACAACCCAATAATCAATTAAAATGTTCAAGCGAGTAGGCAATAACATTAGCATACTAGCAGACGACCAAGAAAGAGTCACAAAATTACAACCCAATAATTAATTAAAATGTCAAGTAATAGCATACTAGCGACGAACCAACGAGAGAGTCATAAAAAGTGAGAGAGAGTGCGCCACGATGGGTAATGGCTCCCCTCCCGACTGCTAGCTATTGACGAGCCAACAACAACAAGTTAGTGACCTCCCCAACAACAAGTCAACAATCCATAATTCATAATTCAAATACAATCCATAAACTCAAATTAAAATAACATTAAAATATTAAAAACATCATCAAAATACATGATTAAATTTGGATTCCATTCACTTCCAAATCTTGGTAATGACATTCCTATAGAGAAAAAAAAATCATCAATCCATCAAATATTAAAATTTTAAAAAATTATTATATCAAGCAAATAAAAATTAAAAACTAACCCATAACATCCAAAAAGCCAAAACATCATCAATCCATCAAACATTCATACGAATTGCTCCTAAATCCGAAAAATTATAAGATAAAAAAAAATCAACAATTTAACATTATTAAGTTATTATATAGGAAATAAATAACAAATAAAAAGATAGAGATAGAAAATTACCAATTTCAATTTTCTCAACATCTTGCAAATTGTCTTCTACATTAATCGGCTTGGATGAATTTTTAAGCCAATCTTGAGCACATATAAGAGATTGCATTATGGTAGGAGATAAAGAACTCCTAAAATCATCAAGAAATCTTCCTCCAATGCTAAATGCCGATTATGAGGAAACAATAAAAATAGGAATTGTTATCACATCACGAGCCATTTGTGAAAGAATAAGAAATCATAAAGAATTATTTTTCTACCACTCTAAAATATCAAAATTAGAGTCATTATCTTTAGAATCTTCAACAGGATACTTATCCAACTCCGATTTATTTTCTTCACCTTCACTCGTCACACTAGAATTTTTTAAAAAGCATCCTCATCTCCTCTTGCCCAACTATTTCCTCATTTGCATTTGGCACTTCTATTCTCCCACCACTTTGATAAATTTGATCTTTAGGTTTTGATAAACGGCAATAGAAATCATACATGCCATATATAAATTCTTTCACAATATTTCTCATATTTTCATCATCTAAATCAACATACAATTGTTTGATTGAAAATTCAACAAATTCAAGTTTATGCCTAGGATAAAGTATGGTCGTAATATAAATTAACATGTTCATTTTCTTAATATCCCTTCAATACTTTTAAAACTTTTCTTTCATATTGTTAGCTAATGAAAAATAATCTAAATCTGAATTTCGTTACCATTTTCTCAAAAAATGTTCAATCGAACAAATCTCTTCAAAGTAAGTATCGAAGTCACATACAAAGAATTCGAAATAAGCAAAGTAAGGTCATAGAAAACTTTCAACATGCCCACCATCTTCCTATAAGCCTTCCAATCATAAATATTAGGCGACCCATCATTAACATTATCACCATAATCTTTATTAAATTCACTTCTATTTAAAGGATCAATTTGCTCGTATCTCCTAAAAGCTCTCTCAAACTTTTAAGCCGCATTTAACATCAAATATGTTAAATTTCACCTAGTTGCGACATCTAGTTATAACAAATTCTTAGAATTAATTTTTTCAAGTTCAATACATTTCTTAAATTTTGACAACCTAGTCGGAGATTGTCTCACATAATTAACGACTAATTGAATACGAATGATAGAAGAATTAAAATGTTTTAACCCATTAGCAATAATAAGATTCAAAGTATATTCCATACACTTCGTATAAAGGAATTCCCCATCTAAGATGCTATGCTCCCAATTCTTAACAACATCTTTTAAGTATCTAATTATCACATCATTCAAACTTGCATTATCAATCATGATAGTAAAAACTTTTTAATTTTCCAATCAATCAAGTATTTCTCAATGGCAATGCCTAAATCTATTCCCTTATGACTATCAACCAAACAAAAATTCAAGATCTTCTTATACAACTTCAAATTATTATCAACGAAATGAGCGAGTTAAACACATTTAATTAATTCTTTGGGAAGATTTTTATGTGTCCATTATGAGACAAACTTTTGCATAATTTTGTTTCAAGAATTGCTTCAACTTTAATTTTTCATCTAAATAAAGTTGATAGCAATCTCTTGAAATCGTAAATCATGATGAAATTTTGAATCTAGGTTGTGGAATGGACATATGCTCATTGAACCCCAAACCCTCCACAAACTTAAATGGAAGTTCATCTATAATGAGCATATAAGCTAAAGTATTTCTAGTAGCAATTTGATCAAAATTTCATGTGCTAAAATTGTTATCTCCTCCTACATTTGGATAAAGGTTTAATTGAGTTTACGTAATATTGTCATAACTATGGGGGTGTTTTTTGCATGTGGACATATGAGACTTAAGTGTAGTTGTGTCATTTCTTATAGGATGACAAGCAAGTACCTTATCACAATAATTGCACTTAGCCTTGATGTCCTTATTCTCATTTTTAAACTTTGTGAAATGCTCCCACATAATTGATCTCGGCTCAATCGCTTTCCTTTTCGTTCTTATGCCAAGTTGTATGCTAATTAGAGCTACACTTGCTTCTACTCGTGCTTGGTTCCGGTTTACTTGAACCGAAAATTTTAACATTAATATCTTAAGGTTGTGACATCTACATAAAAAA